ACGAATCATTACGCCAGTTCAAACTATTACAATAGAAAACCTCTAAATTGAGTGGCTTTCGAGCCTTTCATTAGGTTAATTTTATTATATAATAAAACTGCAGTGTATATAGGAAAAGTTTTACTCAAACATTAGACCACGTGTTCAAACAAACTAATCCTGACCGGCGCAACGCGTGGACCTATCTAGACAAAAACTCTTGAAAAGTTGACTTAATGAGGAAATAGCAAAGACTATTATCCTGTTTTGCATTCACTGAACTTCATGTCACCAATTTTTAGTAGGAACGTCTCAAATATAAAGCCTGTGAAGTAAAAGCGACAACAATGAATGAAACAAAAACAGTATTTAAAAGAAAATACGACAAAATACAAAATAAAGTGATTCGTTATGTATACAATTCCAGTGGTCGGCATTCCTATCAGAGTCTGACATCAGTTCGATTTCTTGGAGTAACCTACAATAATTTTACATTTGTATTTAATTTGAATTATAAAACTTAGATTAATCATTCATATCGTGTGTACATTTTCAGTATAGCTTGTATTTTCTCTTTTGCCTCAACGTTTTTTGAACAAGACATTCTCTGGCTGACAAGTAAATAAATAAATAAAAATAAGCTCCAACCAAATCTTGAACTCTCATCTCTTGCTCTTCTTTCATGGACAAATTCTTAAAAGGATCGATTCAATAAGAAAAAAAAACTACATAAGCAAATATATTGATGGCACGGAAGAAAAAAAATACTATTTCGTACTGACAAAAAAGAATAATAAAAACAAAAAACATACTAAACTGTAATGCTATAAAAACATGGAGCGTTTAATTTTGACAATAAGATGTTTATACATTTACTGGTTTTGGTACTGAAACCTTTTAAGATTTCTTTTACTTCAAAGCAGGTTTAGTTTATGTTTTACTAAATCTTGTCTATAAACCTATTCTGATAAAATAATCTTTCTGGCAAATGTTTGGATTATTTCGCTGCAAAAAGATACAGAAAACAAGATTGTGCGGATGTTTAATTTAGATTAACGAATGCATCCAACGATAAACTTGTGCAGGTGATTAAGATTCAAATTTCACTTATACTTTATGATGAATATATAATGTCCAAAGATTGTGTATGTGTTCGCCTGAAATCCTGAAAATTATATATATATATATATATAACGTATAAACGAATATATATATATATATATATATATATATATATATATATATATATATATATATATATATATATATTCGTTTATACGTAGATATTCGTTTTATATGCGGATATTGCACCTCAGAATGTTTCACCAGTCAGACCTATTCTGGAGTCATATAAAGTTTCGGGCCTCCATTACATCAGAATTTCTCTCCCATAGGCCCAGCCGAGAATGATCATTTCCCGACCACCATTCTGGCGTAGCTTCCGCATGATTGTTAGAACTGTAAATAATATTTTTCTACGCAAATGAGATTCCTTATTTCTATGTAAGAATTCTGATCAATCAGAATTTTTAATTTTTTTTTTGTCTATTGATGTTTTGGGGGGTAATTAGAGGGGCGGATTTCGTTTTTTTCTTTAACGGGTATTGAAAATCCTTTTTGAAAAAAAAAAAAATTACCAATGGTTACAAGAAAATTTAATTTCGGCATTAAATGACCCATAAGGATCTAATATGTCGTTAGATAAACTAAAACAATTTCCCAGCCATTAAATTTCTCCACAAACGTTTTTCTTATTTGATGGTATGAAATATTTTTCTCATTGTTGTTTCTTTTCTACGTCTCATTCCAAATCGTAGGAAAGTGAATATTCTGATGATGGTTTTGCTCCAAGATTCGTATTTTTGTCTTAAGTCTTCGTTCGAAACCAGGCAAATCTCTCAGCTATGGGCAAAGAGTGAATCACAAAACAGGAATTAAAGCACTAGGAAGTATAAAATACATTTTTATAATAAACATTTCCAGCAATAGATTTTAATATTAAAAAAAATTGCCAAAACTCCCAAGGAAATTACATTTCAGCATTAAATGGCCCATAAGTTTTTGATATGCCGTTAAACAAACCAAACCAAACCAAGAATACAAGTTACCCGAGAACAAAATAACCCAAACATACAAGGAAGCAACTGCAACGACAAAATACAATATTAACCTAGAAGCTATTGAAATCATCCCTAAATTAGAGCGAGACACTCACATATACCACATCGATAAATCACAATCATTCATTGCACTAAAAAGACTACAGAGGAAACTTTGGAGATTCATAATCTAAAATTGAACTTATTAAAATAAATAAAATAATACTAGAAAGAATTAACAGAGAACTACGAGTGAAATCAGGCGGAATCAACTGAAAAACATGAAAACAACCATAGTCTGTTTCCATAATCTAAAAAGCAAACAAAACTGTGAATTCAATCAGCTTGACATAAAAGATTTCTACTTGCGAGTAACTGAACCCATGACAGATAAAGTTACCTTCTTAGCCAAGGAACACATAAAAACGAGTATAGACCAATTAAACATCAGTAGACATTGTTATTCGACAACGAAGTCACTTGCTTAAAGAAAGCTACATAATATTTAACATTACGAGGGGAAGTTTTGACGGAGATGAAAAATTGTGAGCTGTTAGGCATATGCATACTTTATACTGATAACATTGTACGGCACAGAGATGAAGGACATAATCCCCAGAAAGTGTAACAGACAAAAACACAGATAAATACCGCAAAGTAATCATAAAAATATTCAAATCTACAGAATATGACGTAGATATAAAGACAAAACTAAAAGTATATTTCCTAGACGTCACCTTTAACCCCAGGAAGAAGCACAGAAAAATACATATAAATCATATAGAAAAAAAACAAACAAACAAACAACAAACCAGTTTACATGTGCACCTAATGACGATAATAAAACAGACTATGAAATCTATCCTTAACGAAGATTATGAAACGTCTGTGAAGAATAATGAGTTTTCGGCAACCCTTACAAATAAACCACACAGAACAAAACAAAACAAAAAAAAAGCCCACAGAAGCATATACAACATAAATTCAAAAGCAAACGAATGAAAAATATATTCATTAAACACATTCATAGACACTTCTCTTCATCAAACATTCTCTGCAAAATTCAGAAACGCATTAAAAATCAGCTATAGCTGCACCGATAATAAAACACAGGTACCAAGAAATACAACAGTCAAATAACCAATAAATAACCTACACCAGCCAAACTAAATAAGCATTAATGTCTCTAAAACAACAATTGCCTACATATTAATATCATATACTAAGACACCATAAAAACAGAGGCAATAAAAATATATCGGAGTCATATAGGCATCATGGAAGCAAAGAAACTACACATAAAAAAAATATCTTTTGACAATAATTAAAATTTTAAGGAAGTTTGATTTCACCTAATCTCCGGTATAATCCATAACTATATAATCAGTGTATGATGCGCATTGACCCAGAAAAATACAAAAAATGGAAAAACAGTGTAGGGAGAGCTATACAGAAGAAACTGTGCAAACGATTCGTGTTCTGTCATATGAACAAATGGTTTCAGCAAAAAAAAACCAAAAAAAACAGAGGCTGTCCGAGATATTAAAACTCAAACTCTAAGATTTCGATACTCTGACCGATCACCACATGCAAGCAAAGGAGACCGGGTTTCCTAATTGTGGCTAAGAAGATATGAGCTTTTAGATTGTGAACATAGCTATGTCAGCGGAAATCAGATGCATATTAAAGATAGTGAGAAATTTAATAAATAGCAGGACCTTTCCCGGGAGCTGAGAAAGTTATCGCATATGACGGTTAGGATCGTACCCATAAACGCTAGAATCGAAGTTCTAGTAAAGAGACGAGGTTGTACAGCCCACGGCGTTGCTGTTTTCTGTGAGTATATTTGCGGGGGGGGAGTGCTGGAAACATGAAGAATCTCTCTGTTACCTAGTTATCAGTGATGACCATCAGACGTGTGGTGTAAAAATTCATTGAAAGAATAAGAATATGAGAAATAAACTGGAAACAGTTCCCGAAATATAGAGAGGTCAAATGAATTAGTGTTATAGTACCTGTTCTATTGTAATAGACTCTCCCACAGATAATAAGTTGTAGTAGTAGTAGAGGTAGCCAGTTGGGATCAGTGGTATTGAGTGAGTCTGTCGGACATTGAAGTATCAACCATCACAACTAGATTGCTGCGTCATTAACTCTTATTTCAAGTTCCTAACGTTTTGTACGTCGAACCTAATTTAGGACGACTTATTGAAATACAAGCCTCCACTGTGAAAACTACTCTACAACAATTAGAAATCTGACAAAGTAATACAAATATATATAGCATATCACTGTTGAAATTATCAAAAGTAAAGAGAAAAGTATTTGAGATATAAGAAGATATACATTATTATTATCGATAGGTAACAGAAACCTTAGAAGACATGGGTGAAAACTGGAAGTGAAAACTCAGTGTAGGTTATGTCAAATTATCATGGCAACTTTTGTTCCAGCTTTTGCTATATCTATATGTTCATCACTATAAACTCATTTTGGAAGTGGTGCTATTCTTTCTGGTTTCTGTGATGATATGAGAAGTTGGCAAATAGTTCGTGAGAAGTATGGCAGACATATACGATTTACATTGAGCGAATTACGCTTAGAAAATTCTACACTCAAGAATTTATGTTTATAAACGAACGAAGCAACTACTACCAATGCCTCGTTTTTATCAGATTACTGCTTAAACATCAATTTCACTTTTTACTGTTTCAAAAAACTGCCGAAAAAACAATAAAAAAAACAAAAATATTTCAACAAGAAAAGCTTAAAATAAAACATGTAGTCTTATGCCTTTATTGTTTGAAAGGTCTATTTATTTGGTCAAGTTTTGTTTTATTAGTTTGAAACGTTGTACTGAAAATTCTACTTTGAAGGAAGAATTAAGAGGAGAAAGCAAAAAAAAAAGATGAGAGAAGGCGTTTAAGAAGCAAGATGAGAAGAAGGAAAGAAAGGAAGAAGAAAAGGAATGGAAGAATAAGAGAAAAGAGGAAGGTAAAACAAGAGAGGGAGAATGAATAACGTTAAAGAGAAGGTGAAAGAAATGAAGCAGTGGGTGTTTTCCTTCCTTTTTTCACTCTTTCATTCTTTTCTCCTTTCCTCTCACTTTCCTCCAGCCTTCCTCCACCCTTCCTTCTTTCCCCCTTTCATTCTTTCCTCCTTTCCTCTCTCTTTCCCGCAGCCTTAAAGATGAAAAGAAGAAAAAAGAAGAAATGAACTGAAGGAATCTAAGAAAGGGGAGGAGAAAGGATAGGTGAAATGGAAGTAGTAAGCGATGTTCCCTACATTCTTGAGTGAGGGTGTATAGGTGGAAGAGAAGAACGAAGAGATGAAAGAAAAGGAAAGGTGAAGGACTGATCGAATGGAAAAAAGAAAAGGGGGAATCAGAGAAAGAGGAGAACAAATGATATGAAAAAGGAAAGGAGGGAAAGAATGAAGCAAGACATGTTCCTAGCAGTTTTCACAAAGGATGGAAAGAGAGGGATGGAAGGAAGGAAGAGAGAGGAAAGGAGGAAAGAAAGAAAGAGGGAAAGAAGGAAGGGTGGAGGAAGGCTGGAGGAAAGTGAGAGGAAAGGAGGAAAGAATGAAAGAGGGAGAGAAGGAAGGGTGGAGGAAGGCTGGAGGAAAGTGAGAGGAAAGGAGGAAAGAATGAAAGAGGGAAAAAAAGGAAGGTGGAGGAAGGCTGGAGGAAAGTGAGAGGAAAGGAGGAAAAAGAATGAAAAGAGGGAGAGAAGGAAGGGTGGAGGAAGGCTGGAGGAAAGTGAGAGGAAAGGAGGAAAGAATGAAAGAGGGAAAGAAGGAAGGGTGGAGGAAGGCTGGAGGAAAGTGAGAGGAAAGGAGGAAAGAATGAAAGAGGGAGAGAAGGAAGGACGAAGGAAGGAAGGAAGGAAGGAAGGAAGGAAGGAAGGCTGGAGGAAAGTGAGAGGAAAGGAGGAAACAATGAAAGAGGGAAAGAAGGAAGGGTGGATGAAGGAAGAAAGGCTGGAGGAAAGTGAGAGGATAGGAGGAAAGAATGAAAGGGAATGAAGGAAAGACAGGGGGGAAGGAAGGAAGGAAGGAAGAAGGGAGGAAGGGAGGCTGCGGAAAGAGAGAGGAAAGGAGGAAAGAATGAAAGGGGGAAAGAAGGAAGGGTGGGGAAGGCTGGAGGAAAGTGAGAGGAAAGGAGAAAAGAATGAAAGAGTGAAAGAAGGAAGGAAATTAGGAAGGAAGAAAATTTGGAAGGAAGGAAGGGAGGCTGCGGGAAAGAGAGAGGAAAGAATGAAAGGGGGAAAGAAAGGAAGGGTGGAGGAAAGTGAGAGGAAAGGAGAAAAGAATGAAAGAGTGAAAGAAGGAAGGAAATTAGGAAGGAAGGAAGGAAGGAAGGAAGCAGACAAAAAGGGAAGGAAGAAAATTGAACGTCAGAAGAAGGAAGAAAGGGAGTTGAAGATGAAAGGAGGAAACAGATGAGGAATAAAAGACGGACGGTCGGTCGGACGAAAGGAAGGAAGAAAGAAGGAGGAATAAAAGAAGGAAGGAAGGGAGGAAAGAAGACAGGAAGAATAAAGGAAGAAAGTAAAAAAGGAAAAAGTTGAAAAAAAGAAGAAAGAATGGAAGAAAGAAGCAAAGAATTTGAAGGAAGGAAGAAAGTAGCTAGGAAAGAAGGAAGAAAGTCGGGCAGGAAAGATTGAATAAAGGAATGAAAAAGAAAAGAGGAAAGGAAGCAAGGCTCTTAATATTTCTTTACAAAGTTTCTTAGTACTTTTCCTTATTGTTAATTTAAAATATTTTTCGCAACCTTTTCTTTATTTTTGCTTTTATTTGAAGTAACTTTTTCTCTAGTATTGCAATTTCTGAACGATATTTAATAAATTGTTATTGAATTTTCCCTCAAACTCAACTTTGTACTCAATTCACTAGAATTAAGTTTGTAAATACGTGTTCGTTAGATTCTTTCCAACTTGAAAGTCGACCTAGTAATCAAAATCACTTGAAAAAGATTTGCCGTTAGACTAAAAAATATATAAAAACTTAAAAATCATATATTACGTTTTGGCACTTCTGAGAAAAGTTTTTTCGAAGATAAAAAGAAATTCTCAGTGAAAAGCATTTATAATCTAAAATATATTTGGCCAGCCGGGCAGCTTAGACATTTATATAGAAGAGGTCGGTGTTCAATCCCAGCTAAAAAGCTTAGCTCTCGAATACTGATTTTCAATGCAGTCGGGTAAAACCCCTCCCTTTTGAAGATTACCATAATCCAATCTTCTTAATGTTCCTATCCAACTGCCCAATCTGGTATTATGACGTAGCAAATATCGATTATACCTATCCAGTAAGAGGTTGAATCATAAATAATTTCCGTTTTTGTTTATAAACCTTATTTCTAAATAGATATATTACAGAAATATGGAATTATATTTTGTTCAGTTATATATTCCCTGCTATGACTTGTTGCCACTTATCAGGCAATCGATACCTTTTGAGCAAAATATCTGTAGGTTTTCGACAGACTTCAGTTTGGTTTTTATTAGAGAAACTTTTCCTTGTCAAAGCGTTTTGCAGCGGTCGAAAAAGTTAGTAAATTAGTGGAAGGTCATGTGAAAATGGCTGGTTGGGTAGAATAGACCAACGGATTTCCTAACATTTTGCCTGTGTTATTCTTGATGTAGGCAGTCTTGCCATGGAAGAGAACAAAATCTTTCATTTAACCCACGGTGTACGCTGCTACTGCCATGCAAAAACTAAATTATAAGTGTACTCCAAATCTATTTTTAACTGCTATGTAGGATTGTAGTTAAAATGATACACTCCTCCTTACGATTGGTTCCAAAAAGCAAAATTATTTATAACTCAACCTTATATATAGTTATTGACATTTGGAGAGCTGTATTCCCTTTGATTCTGATGTGATGGAATAACCTGCCACCCCCATGAGTGGTGGCCCTATAGGTGGTAACCACCTATAAGTATCCGTGAGGACAGCGGACGAGAGAGTCTAGCCGAATCCTTTTCGGCTAGACGGTCGAACTCTCTGCCTCTGAGCAGAGAGGAACCCGGACGAGGCTCAGCCGAAAGGCAGAGTCTCGTTCGGGGAGGTTGACCAGCCCGATCCCGTTTATGCGGTTTCTATGGGCATTTTTGGCCAAGCCTACGGGCTCGGAGAACCCACGTTAAACCCGGCCTTGTACCACATGCAACCCTCGTGGGGGTGGGGAGCTAAATATAGTCCAGCCGGAATCTGTTAATCAGATCTTGGCTGCTGTCGAACTTTCTGTCAAAAGGCAGAGAGGAACCCGTACGAGGTTATGCCGAAGGGCAGAGTTTCGTTCAGGGAGGTAGACAGACCCGAACCCGTTTATACTGGGTTACGGAGAATTTTTGGCCGCACCTACGGGCTCAGATTGCTCCATGTTAAACTCGGCCTTGTGCTACATTCTTCCTCGTTGGGAGGCATGTAAATTCCATCGAGCTGGGGTGTGCGAGACTAGTTATCTTCCGATAGCAGCACGCACATAACTGTACCGACTTTCGACAACCGTGCGCATGACTATTACTTCCTTGCTTGTACTGGTTTCTACAATAAAATAGACATACAACCACTACTCTATCCCATAGATTAACCTACCACTTCACATGCAGTCCATCTTCTCATCAATAACTATGAAGCGCTTGATAGTAAGATCTACAATAACGTGAAAGAAATACTAACAAGCAACTCATTTACTATATAATATTAACTGCAAAAAAGAATTAAATTAAAAAAATTAAACAAAATCTCCTCTAAGTTGGTATATTTAGAAAGGCCTTCAACAACTGATCAGTAGCAAAGAAGGGACTTTGCTTTCTACTCACATGCCCGTGATGTCATCATAAAGGACAATAGCCAAGGCTAGGTTTTAAAAGTACTTGAATCTGTGAAAGAGGACGTATCTATATAGCCCTGAATCTTAAAAGTGAACAGAAGTAGAGCTGAAAGATTTTAATCACAAACATTTAATTAATATCTGTATTCACTGGACTTTAATATGCAATACGGTAGGCGAGCAAGAATTTACCTAATAAAGTAGAAAAACAATCTTTGCTTATCGTTTTTAATATAACATGTATAAATGAAAAACTGTTGCCTAAATACGCATTGTTTCTCTCTTGCTCTCTCTCTCTCTCTCTATATATATATATATATATATATATATATGTATGTGTGTGTGTGTGTGTGTGTGTGTGTGTGTGTGAAAATATATAGAAAATAGGAAAGAACTCGTTAGGTAAATAATAATTCTTTAGTATTTTTGTTATTATTTTTAAAAAACAGTGCTCGATACAAAATTAGAGCCTAAATATAATTATTTATTTAAAAATATGATTCCATCGCTACATAAGAGTTCTCATGTTTCCGGCTCTTGTTTTGAAACATGAGAACTCTTATGTAGCGATGGAATCATATTTTTAAATAAATAATGATATATATATATATATATCTATATATATATATATATGTATATTTCTAAGGAGGCACGGTGGAGTAGTGGATAGCGGCTCGGATTGAGGAGTTTGAATTCCAGTCGAATCCATTACATTCACTTACGGGGTAATACCCTGTATGGATCCTCTTCTTCTCGCTTCAGCTATGGGTAAATAGTAGGGCAGACTGGGTTTTATAGCCTTGGATGGCAACTGGTTTGGAAGAAGGACAACTCTGAATTCAAAACCTGCAGGGGTTGTTTGGGGACCTTGTGGTACGTATTGCATCAGGTCTCTCTATTCGGCCCTTCAAGAAGTGTGGTTAGTTCTGCACAAAGCCTTCACCACTGTAATCAAATCATATGTGCTGGTGTCTGGGCTGTCGGTTCCTAGGAACTGAGCTGATTAACCCACAAACGTCGAATACGACGGGAGAGTCCACCATATCTATCTATCTATCTATCTATCTATCTATCTATCTATCTATATATATATATATATATATATATATATATATATATGTCTTTATTCTTAATAGGATCCTCTCATGTTTACGGGCGAGTATCTTAGAATCCTTATTACAGTTTACAGTAGTTTAAAATAATTTAGGTTATAATTAAGAAATTTAATTAGTTTGAAAAAAAAAATAGACATCTCCATAACTTAGTTACCTCCCTTGACGTTACTGCACGTGCATATTTACCTCATAAAATTAAAAAATTGTACAGTGCTTAAGTTTCGCGTTTTTTACTTCACAAGTAACAAATTTAATTTTAAGATGAGCACACCAATTTTGTCTTAGCAAAAGCGAAACCCTGAAGATAACTTTGTGCTAATGTCGAAAGTAGTCGGAAATAAAATGGATATACATCAACATGGTAATTTTCTTTCTTCCTTTAATAAGGATACTAAGAAATATGTCATTAAATATGAGAGGAACCTATTAAGAATAAGTAGACAAAACTTGCCTAAATTGTTTAATGAAACATGTCAATAAAAACAAGCTGCCAAAATAGACACTATATATATATATATATTAAAATGATTTTTAAACGTTTATACTAAAATATATATATATATATATATATATATATATATATATATATATATATATATATTATAATTTAAAAATATGTTTTTCCGCTACACAGTTCTAACCATGTTTCAAAAATGGAAGCTAAAAGCCCAGAGATTTAATTTTGTAATTAAATTAAAGACATTAGTTCCATTTTATTCTCAAGCTAATATTAATGCTCTGTAAATTTACATTGAGCGCTATTATGTAAAAAAATATCTATAAGAACACCGGATTATATATCTTACTGTTCTTTCTTTTTATATATATATACATATACATATATATATATATATATATATATATATATATATATATATATATATATATTAAATGATTTTAAACGTTTATACTAATATATACTTTGGATTCGTGATTCTTGAAAATAAAGCAATTTTATTTCAGTTTGCTATTTGATAATAAAGAATCTGTTCACGCTTACCCCTGTAATAATGATCCGATATTGTGTGTTTGTTACAAAAGCTGAGAAGTGGAAAATAAATGAGAGATTACTAATAGTTTGGGGTTTTTCATCTACACTTACCGTGAAAATAATGGCCTGAATTCTGTATGTTTGATACAAAAGCAGTAAAGAAACTCCTAGCAACAGTGAAAGAGAAAAAGAATTGAAAAGATTACTAACAGTGTGGGGTCTGCATTCACACTCATTGTGGGAATAATGACCTGATTTTTTTTTGTTTATCACAGAAGCGTAAAAAAAAAAAAAACGATTGAAAGCAAAAATGTAAATAATAATATCCGTGACATAATGGAGGCCTTTATTTTCCAAAACATATATTGTTAAATATTTTTTTCCAAAACATATATTGTTAAATATTTTTTTTACATTTTGGTTGATTGATTAGGTTTTACAGCTTGTCAACAATTTGCGGGTTATTTAAAGCCGAAACATATTTTTGGTGATTGAATAGCAAAGTTTAGCAACTTTTGTTGAGAATAACAATGATTTTTTTTCAGATACAAGTCCTACTATTTAATCCATAGCTGAGCGAGGAGAGAGTGTTATATAGGAATAATGTGTCGCTGCTGATACTCGAGTTTGAACATAGATCGCCAGAGAGTAGACAGGCGATCTCATTATTGGATTAAGTGA